TCAACTGAACTCAGTGAGTACAGAATACTGCCAATGGATGGCACAGCAAGGAGGCATTTCAAACACATGTTGACAGTGAAACATCGATTATAAAACAGCCAAGATGTGAAAGCAGTAGCACTTCAGAAATAACAGCCAGCAAATATAGACATCACTTGTAGTCCATTACAACAAAAAACTTTATTAGACAAGAATATATCACCGACCCAGCCTATATACTGACACCATTTGGTGTAAAAAGTACTGCAATTTCTTTTTATATTTTACTATCATTTATAACACATTTGGAGTGATTGAACAATATTAGGTACTTAATTTATAACTTACCCCTGACGTCACGACAACGTCACGGGAGACATTCCCAATAAATTCTAGGGTGTTCAGGTTGTAGTTTCTCACGATTTCTCTACAGTAAAGTTTAGGGTTAGGGTTGGGGTTAGGGTTAGGATTAGAAGACACTAGATGAACACTTAAAAAAAAGCACCACACAACAGCACACTTGCACCCCTTGAAATAATGGACTGTCAGGTCAGCTGTGGATTTCCCACGGGGATTTCCTGTTTGGGGTATGTTATAAATTAAGAACCCAATATTATTATTAACTAACATTGAGCTAACCATGCTTTTGAGTGGGAAAATGGAACAAGGAGAAGATCAGTATCAGTGGACCATCCTTTTGACTGATACTGCATCGTGTTTGTGTGTGTGGTAAAAAATATTGAAATAATCATGAGTAGTCAGTCACCAAGAGGAGGATCGCCCCCTCCCCCATCAGGCATGTTGTAAAGAGACTAATTAGAGGTGTTTCCTTTGAAGTCAGATTGCATCAGCCTGAGAGGGAAGGAATAAACAGTCTGCACACAAAGAAGTCAGATCTGTGAAATGGATATGCACTCCAAACAAGTCCTATGACCTGACTAAAGTTCATAACAACCGGAACTTTCCGCCAGAGTTTGCAGCTGATGAACACAAAGAAGAAGAAAAAATAATTCGTTATTCTTGACCTCTCTTCTCCCAGTGAAGCCAAGACATTCACCCAGATCACACGAGTCCCTTGATGTACAATATTGTTTTCATAATCTCTAGGTCAACCATCATCATCATCATCATGTAGCAGGTCCTTTGCAGAACGTGGCTCTCATCACAATATGCCTGAAAGAAACTCAGTCTCCCGCAGCTCTCCAGCCTCTTGTACATCACGACTACCCTTACTTGCTCTGCCATTGCTCTCTTTCCCAGTTCGTGTTTATGATCTGCCTGGCCTGGGGGCCTCGCCATCAGATCTTTGAGTTTCATTTTTGGCTTCCATGATGAGTTTCTTGGGATAGTTGTAGTAGTTTTAGGTCAACCACTCCTCACATATATCAGTTTTAACCTAGAAGGATGGAACAGGACGTATTATTTCTGTTTGTTATTGTTGTCTTATGTTGTTTGAATCATTTTGATATGTGCCGAAAGAGTCCCTGTCCAGGCTTTAAAAAAAACCCACTTAACAAAAATAGTCACCACATAATGCATAGACAAAGTTTGTATCCAAAAGATAGCTAGTTGTTTAGAAAGATTTGCACTTTTATTTTTGCTTGAATTTCAAATTTGAGTTTCTGTTGTTATCGCTTTGCAACAGGGTTATGCTATTTCACAGTTTATTTTTGTTTGTTCTTAATTGTCTTTTCTTTGCATAAGACGTATCAGTTTTAGAGTCTCATTTTGAAGGTAAAAAGTACTTTGATTTTGTGAAATACTTGGCTGTTTTTGTCTTGGTGTTTGTTTCGTAACTTTACACATTGTCAGATATGGGATAAAAAAAAGGAATTGATTATTTTGTTCAGAATTGTCATGTGTTAAAGTAATGTTGGTGTGAAATGCTATTGTTTGCCGTGATGTGAATGTTTTCATTTTTAAATGTAACCATATTTCATAAGATAACTTTAAGTTTTCTTTTCCTGCTTTATTTTCAGATTCTTTATATTTATGGAAATTTTTATTTTTTCTTCTAATTTATTATTCACAATTTGGTGTCTAGAAAAACTAACCTTAATTGTTTAAAATGCATTTTAGAGGTCTATATAATTTGTGTTGTTTTGTGTTTATTGTGGAAATTGCAATAGTTGTTGAAATGTTAGTGTTGAATTTGCTTCAGTGTTCTTTGTGTCTGCAGTCTGTTAATATTGTATTTGGTGGGCTTCTCTGTGGACCAGTAGGCCAGAATTCTCTTTAGACAGAGAAGCAATCAGTGTGCTAAAATTTTTAATTCACTTGCATTTTCTTGTCAAACAAAAACACCATATTTCTTCAGAAACGTCTTCTTCCTCTTTTCTCCATTCCAGTTTTGCTTTCCAGAACCAGTCTGAAGTGAGCTTTGGTGTAGTTTTAAAAGAAGAATTCTAAACATTCTAAACATAATATAAACAAACTCCTGTAAAGAGTGATGATAATATTCTGTAGCAACTCAGTAAAAAAAAAATAAAAAAATAATGCTATAGCAGAAATCAACTGTTCAAAAACATTTCCTAGACGATTTCTTAGAAGAACCATTTATTTTTTAAAAAATCATAATGAATTTTGATTATATTAAAAGTGAGCACATTTTTATTTTATTCAGTCATAAAATCTATATTATAGTCATAACACTACTTTCTTCAGTTTGTGAATGTGTATATACAACTGTGTCAACATACCTGCATGTATAGGGCACACACATGCATATATGCATGCACACAATCACCCAGAGAAATATATGTGCATACACATACACTGTACAATGGAAATGGACATAACCTGCAGATGATTAAGCAATCATAGTGTGCACATACATGTACATGTGCACATTTATGTGTCCACCCGAGTTTGCATTTCTCCAGATTTCTGAATAAAATATTTGTGCATGCATTTTGGAACATGTGTAAGCTGATTGATCGATTTGATTGATTCTTTGACTGGGTGACAGAATTGACATCACAGCACTCAGGACATTCTCTTTTGCACATCATCCATAGCCGCAGCACCCAGGCAATGCACATCATCCTCATCCGCAGCACCCAGGCAATGCACATCATCCTTATCCGCAACACCCAGGCAATGCACATCATCCTTATCCGCAGCACCCAGGGAAGAGTTCCAGTTCCCATGGTGCCAGTAGCAGATTGATTAATGTCCATCTTGCCTTTCCTCTGAACTGCTAGCTGTCCCATTCTCTCCAGACCATAATGATTTATTTGTACTTCTGCATTGTTCAATTGCTCCCGAAGAGCCTTGACCACTCTAGCTTGTCCTGCATAGGTGCAGCACCCACCGCTGCAGAACCAGTCAATCTATCTGCCTGTAAATTTCCCAACACTCCTGCCTGCCACTGAGAAATTATCCAAAGGAAGCCCACTACCCTGGACCTCTAAAGCGATGCTTGCTGCTCTGTACGGAGCATGCCTGTCTCCACCTTTCTTAACATGTTTTGTGAGTTGGTTACAATCATGGCGTGTGTTCAGCTGGTTCTTAAGCCAACGGAAAGCAGCTGTCTTCACCTCCATCTTCATTCTCAAATTAGATGTTGTAGTAACATATTCTAGATATTTTTGCACAAAGTGCCATCCATTCGCTTTTGTAATGACACCCCCCCCCCCCACACACACACACACACACACTCTCTCTCTCCCTCTCTCTCTCTCTCTCTCTTTCACTCACTCACTCGCTCACTCTCACCTTCTGTCTCTCAGATGTGTAAGCTCTTGAGTGAAGTGGTTGTCATGCCTGCCTGCTTATCCTATGGTCATGTATTCACATCCCCCTCAGTCTTCTTCTTCTTCTTCTTATAGGCCATGTCATGTAGCATTGGTATTTATGTCTTTCCACAGCCTTCCGTCTCATGTACTTTCAATCAATTCTAATGTTTTTGATCCTCCATGTCATGATGTTAAACTGTCAAGCATCTTTCTGTCTCCATCTGCCCTTTCCTCCCTCCAACTTTCCTACTGTCACCATGTACCTCAGTTTTCTCCTTCTCGTCACCTGACCAAAGAATGTAGATGGTCTCCTTCTGATGAGGGCTGTCAATTATCTTCTGAGTTAGTTTCTTTCAAGACAACTTCATTACTCATTTTATCTATCCAGGGTATTCTCATAATTTGTCTATAAAACCACATTTCTGCCACTTCCACATAATTTTTCACAAATCTTAAGATAGAAATATATTTTTTTTTTTTAAATTGACATAGGTTGCCAGTTTGGATAGCAGCAAATGTTCTTGGAAGTCATGGCAACCAACATCATGTTAATCAGATAACCCATTGAGTGCTGACTGGTCTGTACAAATATGGAGCTGGCGCCATATATCTAGTCTGCCATTAAACAAGTTTTTTTAAAATTATTATTGCGTATGGAGATGACCAATGTGCAATGACGTCAGTGTTGATAACACAACAGATAATACATGGTGTGTTGTTTGGGACAAGAAGTTGACTATTTTTATACTAGGAAACTCACAATGCACTCATTGGTTACTCTTTATACTGTAAGTAAAGTAAGTAAAGGTCCCTTTCCACACCTTTAGGCATATAGGGCTAGACCTATATTATTTTGGACCAACCGGCACAAGATGGGTGATGAGGTCAGCATCACGCCGGCTGCCTTTACTTCCTGGGACTGCACCTGGTACCCACTCAAGGCTGGGTCGACCTGGAAGTCAAGGTCATTTTTGAAAAAAGTCCGGCTCCGCCAGGGAGCGAACCTACGACTTTCCGATCGCACACATCTATAATTTTTTAATGCCATTTTTTTTCTTTTAGTTACGTTATACATTGCATATTTGTTGTTACTATAACTTCTATTCCAAAACATTAATTCACAGTACTGTGAGACTAAACAAAAATAACTCCTCTAAAGTACAACTTTACGATAGACATTGTTGAAATAACAATTGCACAGACTCAGAAAGTTAAGGCATGTAATGATTCCTTTGCTTACACTTTACCGACATGTTGGTGACATTTCTATTTTTTTTCTTGTAGGATTTGATGCCTTTGGCGATGTTCTTCAGCCAATGAATAAAGCTTCGGCATCACCTTCTCTAGCACCGTCAACATCATCATCACAGACAAAGGTGATTGGGCAAGATCTTGATACCTCTCTGGCCACGCTAGCATCTAATCTGAATGTTCGAGGTGGAGCAACAGGTACTAAAAAGTGAGTAACCATAGAACTGTTTTGTGTTTTTCATTGATGTATTCCTGTCAAACCTCTGATCAGATAATCATCATCATAATATAGCAAGTCCTTTGTAGAATGTTGCTCTCATCACTGTGTGCCTGAAAGAAGCTCGCTGTCTCCCATCTCATGTAATTTCAAATCTCAGGTGTCTCGTATATCATGAGCACATCTTTATGTTGGTCAGCCTCTGCCCCTCCTTCCTGGTGACATGCCTTCTGTTATTATTTTTTCCAGTCCGCTCTGATGCTTGATATAGACAAAATATTTCATCTTCCGAGACAAGATGCTGTTTATTAGTCAAACTTTCTTGATGTTCAGATCTTTTAGAATATGAGTATTTCTTTCCTTCTTTGTGCATGGTATTTTGAGAATCTTTCTATAGCATGTTGGCTTGAAAAAGCCCATAATTTCTTAAGGACTGTGAGATAGTCCACAACTCACTTCCTTAGGTTGCTACAGGGAAAGATGCATGGTCTCAAAATTTTAACTTTGATTTCCTTGCTGGTGCTTACCCATAGACTTTTAATGCTCTTTAATACTCTGCATATTATTTGTAAGTCATCCTCAGATATCTTACCACATGACACAGTCATTTAGTCTCTTCACAAATCTCAGTTCGAGGTATTCTGTATCATTGAAGATTTTCTTCCACATTTGACCAGATATCTTTTTGTGGCTGGTAACTACCCAAATCTTTGGGAGGAGCTCTTCTTTTTCCAAAAACACGTGTAGTTTAACAGCAAAAATCTTCTCAAGCACCTTGCCAAAAGTATGTTGTAGATAGATAATCCTGAAACCGCTGAGCCGGGAATGATCTTTGCCTGGTTTTGGAAGTGGAATTAGGTAGCTGTGTACCCAATCCTAGGGTACTGAAGCTGTTCTGATGCTCTGGTTGAAGTAGAAAGCCATCTGCCTCCAGTCTTCACCACTCATGCTCTTCATATGGGCACACCTGTCTCCGCCTGGCCCCGACGCAGTGTCTTTTGTTTTTTTGCAATGTATATTTTATATCCTCCATTCTTATGATATCCTAAAAATAGTTATCATTTATAGTATTAGACAGATTATCTCTTATTGAATTTCTAAGCTCCCTATCATTATGATCAGTTTGGAATATAAATTTCTCCAATAAAAGCTTTCTCTTTGTCTTTTGTCATTGGCTTATCATTATCAGCCACAAGGCCACAGTTTATGCAGTATTGTATTATTGAGTACTACACGACAGTTGCCTCAAGCATCATATGAAGATCAATACTGAAAAGACAGAAGTCATGAGCATAAGTAGAGAGCAACAGACCATCGACATAAAGATTCTAGATCACAGCCTAAAACAAGTGCACGAATTTAAATACTTGGGAAGTATCTTTACATTCAATAGTAAAATAGACAGAGAGATCGAAGCAAGAATCCAACAAGCCAACAATGTCGCATACCAGCTTGCCCCAATTTTGAAACACCCTACTGTCCCAGCTGAGATAAAAAGACAAATTGTAAATACAATCTTTATACCGACATTAGGTTATCAATGTCAGACTTGGACATTAACAAAAGAACATGAGAGAAGACTAACCACCTGTGAAATGAGATGTTTGAGAATGGCTGCGAATAAAACCAGAAGAGATCGAGTGAGAAACGATGTGATTACAAAAACTATTGGAACCATACCCATCGTTAAATTTATTGAGAAGCAAAGAATGAAATGGTTTGGTCACCTAATGAGAATGGAACCAACGATGCCAGCATCAAGAGCATACAACATGAAAATCGAAACACCAAAAGGCAGGGGAAGACCAAGAAGAAGATGGATTGAAGGAGTCACGGACAACTTGAGACTTCATAACATCACGGCAAATGAAGCGACTGAGCGCGCCCTGGCTCGGTTGCCGATCATCTAATAGACTGCGACGCCTAGCGGCACAAGCAGATTTTGACAAAAGAAGAAGATATTATTGAGGTTTTGTTGCTAATTACGTCAGAGCTGTTTGAAATATTTATTTACTAAGATTTTAATTTACAGAGACCACCAGTGGCAGCCCAAAGGAGAAAGTAAGCTGACGGGAGGCAACGCATTCCAGCGACAACCAGTTGCACAGTCAACCACCACACCATGGGGGGTTCAGCCAGGCTTCCAGGCACCTGCTATGGTACAGTTTGCCTTATAGTAATTCATTGACTATCTGCTGTTTGCTGAATTCTTATATTAATTCATTGACCATCTGCTGTTTACTGAATTCTTATAGGAATTCATTGACGGTCTGCTATTTGCTGAATACTCATAGTTATTCATTCTTCTTCTTCTTCACTTCCTCTTTTACTGCTGTGGGTGTCGAGGGAGATATAAGGTTCTGTTTCTAGCTCTTCTGGCTGCCTCGACCATAGGCACATCGTGCTGTTGTAGAGTTTCTCTGATGTTATCCTTCCATCTTGTTCTTTGTCTACCCCGTGCTCTACGTCCTTCTTCTCTTTCCATGTATGCTTTGTATAGTATGGTGTCACAAGGCATTCTCTCTAAGTGGGCAGACCATTTCACTTGCTGTCTTTGTATGTAATCCAGAATTGGTTCTGTGCCGACTTGTTCTCTTATGATCTCATTCCTGATCTTATCTCTTATGGTCACTCCTACAGCCCTTCTCAGACATCTCATTTCCGTGGTTACTAATTTTCTTTTATGGTTTGTTGTGAGTGACCATGTCTGGCACTGATAGCACAGAGTTGGAATAAATATGCTTTGAATAGGATGTCTCTTTGTGCTGATTGGGATTGTCTTATGCTGTAAGAGGGGAGCTAGCTGTCCCAATACTTAGTTTGCTTTACTGCATCTAATGTCAATTTCTTTATCCAATTTCCCATCTTCGGTAAATGTAGTTCCCAGATATTTAAACTCAGATGCCTGTTTAATGCCTTTGTATTCTATTGCTATGTTTAGATCTGTCTTCTTTTTTCCTATTGACATTATTTCTATCTTTTCAGTGTTGATTCTCATATTATTTGTTTTACATTCTTCATTCATGGATGTTAGATGTTGTTGCAATTTCATGGCTGTATCTGCTATCAAGGCCTGGTCATCTGCAAAGAGTAATTCGTTAATCTTACTAAGATCTTCATTCATGGGCTTGGCATTCTTGCATATACTGTTGATGTAGGTGATAAACAGCAGTGGTGATAAGACACACCCCTGTCTTACTCCAGATGTCACTGTGAAAGGATGAGATGTTCCCTGATTTATTCTAGCTACACTTCTACAATCCCTGTATAAACTTTTGCACACTTCGATGAGGTGTTCGCTTACTCCATATCTTGCCATTATTTTCCATAATAATTGTCTGTCGACTCTGTCAAATGCCTTCTCCTGGTCTACGAATGCCACAAATAAGTTCTTATTGTATTCAATGTTATTTTCTATTAACTGTTTAAGTGTGAAGATTGCATCTGTGCAGCTTCTTTTTCTCCTAAATCCCATCTGTTCTTCTGCCAGCTGTGGTTCTATCACTGGTCTCTGTCTTGTTTCTATTATCTTGGCATACATTTTGCCAACATGGCTTAAAAGAGAGATGCCTCGATATTGTCCTCATTCTCATTTGCTTCCTTTGTTCTTCCACAATGGTATAACTATTGGATGTTGCCAATCAAAAGGGACCGTTTGTTGTACCCATGCTGCATTGAATATTCTGTGAAGCCATCTGATGTTGCTTTCACCTGCTGCTTGAATTATTTCTGTTGGTAATCTATCAGCTCCTGGTGCTTTATATTTGGGAGACTGTTTAATTACTTTTTCTATTTCATCCATTAGTATGTGTGGTTCTAACACTGTTGCTCTGTGCTCTTCAGTTGTTCTTTCCTGATGATCTCCTAGAGGATTAAAGAGCTCATTTAAGTATTCCCTCCATCTTTCTGCTATCTCAGGTGGATCTATCAATGGCCTTCCTGTCTTATCATTTATTATTTCAGTGGGGTTTTAACTACTTTGAAAAATTTTCTGCTGGCTGTTTTCTCATTTTCTGCTAGTGACTCACCGAAACGTTCCCAGGATGCTTTTTTTGCTTTCTTGACACTCCTGTTGGTTTCTCTCCTTTGCAGTCTATAGTTTATATAATCTTCTTCTTTCTTTGATTTTATCCACTGTTTAAATAATTCTTTTTTCTTTTTAATTGCTTCTTTTACTTCTTTGCACCACCAAGGTGAATATTTGTTATTTCCCCGTCTGTTTCCACTCTTCCGTTTTCCACATAATTCTTCTGCAATACTAAGCATAGTGTTTTTATATATACTCCATTCTTCCTCAGTATTGCCAACTACATGTGGAAGTTGTTTGAATGCTGTCTCTGCTTTCTGTTGTAACTGTTATTTTACTCCTTCCTGTTTCAGATTTGCTATCTTGATGAGATCCTTGTTTTTGTTTAATTTCTTTCTGTGTTTCTTTAATGTAAGATGTTTTGCTGTTAACACAACTATTTTATGGTCAATGTCACATAGACCATTTGGGATTGCTCTTGAATCAAGAATTCTCCTTCTTCCTTGAACTCTGGTAAGTATAAAGTCAATCTGGCTCTTGATGGAGACATCATTCCATTTGTACCAAGTGTAAAGTTGTGAATCTCTATGGTCAAAGAACGTGTTCGTAATAAAAAGATTGTGCTGGCTGCATAGATCCAATATTCTTTGACCATTTCCATTTCTAGCACTGTTCTTAGCTGCATATGGACCTAAAAACTGTTCGTATTCTCTTCTGTTATTTCCTACTCTCCCGTTGAAGTCACCCATTACATATAGTATGCTGCTTCCCTCAACTTTCTTTATCTCATCAGACAGATCGTCAAAGAATTAATCTTTCTGCTCTTCTGTATAATTATCATTGCATGGTGCATATATCTGTATATACGTTTCAGCTTGTTCTCCTCTTTTAATTTTCAAAGTAATAATTCTATCTGAGTGATAATATATGTCTAATATGTAGTTAGATATGTCCGGATGTACCAGGAAACCCACTCCATTCTTCGATGTTTCTCCTCCTGCATACGTTAGTAAGTAGCCTCTGTGTATTTTCTTATTAATATTTCCCTTGCGTCTTATGTCAGCTAGCCCCATTAACTTGATTTTCCTTTTTTCCATCATTTCAATAATCTCTTCTGTTTTATTTCCCAGGCCAGCGGTGTTAAGTGTTGCAATCTTGTATTTCGCTGTTCTGTCTTGTAGTCCCTAAACATTGCCATGGTCAGATACTGTTTGATTAGTCCGTTTATATCTCATTTTGATTTCTGTAGCGGTAATATAGTTATTCATTGACTGTCTGATATTCACATATTTCTTATACAAATTTATAATGACTGTCTGATATTCACTGAATTCTTATAGTAATTCATTGACCATCTGCTTATCGCTGAATTTTTATAGTAATTCATTAACCATCAGCTATTCGCTGAATTCTTATAGTAATTCATTAACCATCAGCTATTCGTTGAATTCTTATAGTAATTCATTAACCATCAGCTATTTGCTGAATTCTTATAGTAATTTATTAACCATCAGCTATTCACTGAATTCTTATAGTAATTCATTAATCATCAGCTATTCGCGGAATTCTTATAGTAATTCATTAACCATCTGCTTATCGATGAATTCTTATAGTAATTCATTAACCATCAGCTATTCGCTGAATTCTTATAGTAATTCATTGACTTCTTCTGTTCACTGAATTCTTATATTCAGTAAAATCTCATTAACATAGACTTGCTTAAGAAGAACACACAGTTATCATGAACACAGTTTTGGTCCCAGCAGTCCCCAGCTTATCGATGAATTCTTATAGTAATTCATTAACCATCAGCTATTCGCTGAATTCTTATAGTAATTCATTGACTTCTTCTGTTCACTGAATTCTTATATACAGTAAAATCTCATTAACATAGACTTGCTTAAGAAGAACACACAGTTATCATGAACACAGTTTTGGTCCCAGCAGTCCCCAAATAGCACAGTTTAAAAAAAAAATATTAACTCAATTTTTGGTCTCTTGGAATTCATGGTAATGAGGTTTTAATGCACTTTTATAAATGTTGTCCTCTGCTTGTAAGTTCTGGGGCCCCATTATGGGGAAAACAAGAATAGACCAACTGACTCCCTAACAAGCATGTCATAAGAGAGTCAACTAATTAATGCATCTGCCTGAGAGGCAAGGAACCAAAAGACTGCATACAAATAAACCAGTTCTGTGAAATGGATGTATACATAGAACTCAGGTTGTGGAAGAAGACTCAAGTCAGCAAGTGGATCAACAATCAGAACTTTGAGGCCAGAGTTTACAGCTGGTGAACACACAAACATTAAATAAAATACACTTTGTTCAGTGGGAACCAGAAATTATAATTAGCAGTGAAGAAATTAAAAGTGCCACAGACATTAAAATCCTTGGCTCCATAGATAACAACAATAGAGTTTGTTCAATAAACTTGAGATGAAGACTAGACTTACAGACCAGCAGTTCAAACAACATTTAAAAAAAAAATTGTTTTAGAATACAAGCAAACAAATTAAGTAAATTTGGGAGAACATACATACTTCTTTTTTTTGGCAACATGCAAATGAGTTATGGAAATTTTCCATTCTTGTTGTGCCCAATAGAAGACGGGATAGTTTGTACCCAGAATTTTAAGCCCCCAGCAATGGAAAACAGGATAATTCTATGCCCTCATCTTCTCTTTTTTCTTCTGTATTCACCCATAAAAGGGTGGTTGGTATGTTATAGTATTGTTTTCATGAAGGCTGTAGTATCTGCACCTTTTGTCCCAATGCATCTGATTTCAGCAAGCCCTTTAGTAGTCGCATTTGACAACATCCCCCCCCCCCTTTATGGCATGCTTGTTAGGGATCTGCTCAATGGGTCAATAGCCCGTGTGGGATCCGGGGCCCCATTGTAGGGAAAAACAAGAATAGACCCACTGCCTCCCCGAAAGCATGTCGTAAGCGTCGACAAATTGGGAAGCTTCCTTTGCTTTCAATAGAAGTCAAGAGAATGAGATCTGTAAAACTTATGCTTTGGAGCAGGACTGCAGTTCAGTAGTGGAAGACAGAACTTTGAATGCACTCATCAATAGAAGACGTGAGATGCTTTCAAATCAAGATTTTGCTGTTAGCAACGCAAAATAGAAAAATATTTTGTGTGTTCAATCGAAACAAAAAATAGTGTGTTCTCTCAACAATAACAGTGCTCTCTCTCTCTCTCTCTCTCTCTCCCCTGAACTGCTTTCTTTCCTTTAATTTATCTTTATTTGAAACAGTTTTCCAATGTGTTTAAAATGTTTTTTGTATATGTTGAATTAGGAATTGACAAGCGCTACATCGTCAGCAGCAAGCAAAGAGTTCCAATTCTAATAGCACCAGTAACAGTCTTGATTGTATATCTGTATAACGGAGGGAGACCTCGAAGGGCAGAATGTTAGGCGGGCCTGCGTGCCCAATTCTTAACCCTTAAAAAATAAAAGTTTGTTTGTTCGTTCATTCATTCCTTCGTTTGGGTCTCGCCTTTCTTCTCAGTGTTGAGCGCCGGTCAGATTCCCTTGTGACTTCTTGCAGTGCCATTCTCCCCCAGACTATTTTTTTCTGTATATAAGTGGATATACTGAAGAATTGGTGGTATTTCAAGGGTACAAAAACATTGTCATATGTCATGGAAACAAAAAAAGAGGTTGTGAAAAGACTTCTCCTTAAAGTACATGCTGTGTGATGTTGGTAGTCACATCTGTCTACAACCTTCTGTCTTGTGTATTTTCAATCAACTCTGACACAGATGATCCTCCATGCCATGATGTCAAACTGTCCTGTCTCTTTTCCCCTCTCCTGTGAAGAGACACTCTTATAAAAACCATACCCATACTGGAAGGACAAGATGAAGGCAAGCAGGCAGGAGACATACACTGACATAAGTGGGAGAATAATGTCAAGAAAGGACAAATGACTGTCTGATATAATCTGTATCCAAGGGGAAAACAGAGCATGTTGGAGATCCATTACAGCCAACCTTCCTTGTGGAGATGGCACCTGATTGATTTTATTTGTTTCCTTTCCCATAGATGGGAACACCTGTGATGTACAGCCAACCACTTGGAGTTCCTGTAGTTCCTGTAGTTCAGCCAATAATGGTGAGTCCTTGTTGGAAACAAAAATGATCGTCTTCATCATCATCAGTTGCCTCAATTTCCTGTTGGGTCCAGGGCACTATTGGGCGAGAAGGGATAAACCCACTGCCCCCACCCCGGACAAGCGTGTCGAAAATGCAAGGTGATCCCAGGTGTATCCTTTGAAGTTAAAGTATATCTTTCTGAGAGGCAAGGTACCAAAAGATGGTCTGCATACAAATAAGTCAGATCTGTAAAATGGATGTGAATGCACAACTGAAGTTCTGGATACATGACCAAAGTTCACAAGCAGACGAACACCTAGAACTTTTCCACCAGAGTTTACGGCTGGTGAAGCGAAGAAGTTGCCTTGCTGACTGGCATAACCTCAGGGAATGACACAGCCATATGGAATGGGCATGGGAGTTCATCCTGGCATGGTCATGCAGTCACCTGGCATGTACGGTGCCCAGCGAATGCCCCTGATGGGTGGGTACCAGCAACCACGGCCCCCTCAACAGTCCGGACAGTCCAGTGACCCATTTGGGGCATTATGAGATTTTCAAACACAGTGTGACGAAAACAGACTTTTAGTTATTTTCTCTTTCTTTCTGTCTTAAATCCAGTGTCTTTTATAATTTTTCTTTCTTTCTTTCTTAAATCCAGCGTCTTTTATTATTTTCTTCATTTTTGTCTTAAATCCACTGTCTTTTCTTTTTGTAAATTGTTACCGTCTGCTTACGTGTATTTTGGTATATATTATACTGGTGTTATTCAGCCATAAATGCATGGTTTGGGTCTATATCAAGCAAATATAAACACATAATATTCACAGTGGCCTATCAGTACGTTTCTCTTATTATGCTGTCAACGTGATTGCTGTGTCCATAATGTTGCATAAATCATTATAAATGTTATTGGATGTTCTTCCTCATGCAGTATGTTGTCCATGCTGTTTTTGTCAATGCTGATTCTAACTGTATTCATTTTATCCCACCCTTCCCAAGTTGTTATTGGTAACATGATATTTGATTCGGGTACAATTTTGACGTAGGGTAGAGAAAAATTGGTTTCTTGTGTTTAACTCTTTCAGTCCAAGTAAGCTGATACTCTGACACCCTCTGTCCCAAGAAGCTGAGCTTAAAAACAATAGGTATTTTGGTCGGAAGAAGTTAAACAGACACCATGGGGCAGAAAGGGTTAACTTGGTGACTGACTGTGACAGAAGACAACTGACTGTGACAGAAAACATGTGTTATGTGTTGCTAAAGGAGTTACGTTTTTTTGCGTGGGTGTGTGTGTTAGAAGGAATTAAGTTTATTTTGGGTGTGTGTTAGAAGGAGTTGAGTTTTTTTTTTTTTTTTTGTGGGTGTGTGTTAGTGGGTCTTTCCTGAATTGTGCTGAAAAAGAAATGGAAAACATTTGCTGAACAGACCTTCAGAATAACTTTGGCAAAATAATTAACAAAGGATGTTAGACAGTTGATATCTCTTACTGATTAGACTGTTACACAGATAAGAGCAGCTATATCAAGTAACATCAGCTTCTCTTATATTCATTAATCTTCTTCTACGTGTTCACCAGCTGTAAACTCCAGTGGAAAGTTCTGGCTGTTTGTCCACCTCTGGACTTTAGTCTTGTTCCAGAACCTGAGTGTTATGTGCACATCTTTTTAACAGATCTGACCTATTTGTATGCAGACTGTTGGTTCCTTGCCTTGTAGGCAGATGCACTCTGACTTCAAAGGAAGCCCCCAGTTAGTTGACTCTTATGGCATGCTTGTGGGAGAGGCAGTGGATCTGTTCTTGTTTTCCCCCAAAGTAGGGCCCTAGAACCCAAATTAGGAAGAATTCACCACAGAAGTTACAGGATATTGCAGAACAAACATGTAACAATTGATAACACAAGAGCACTGTTTAATAGAGAAGTTTTTTTTATTACTAGCATAGCATTGCAAATAACTGCCTTTATTACCACTTCTGCGGTGTAGGCAGGGAGGGTATTTGACCTGAGGATTTACAGTCGCATGGCTAGTTCTGTCGCCACAACTGTGCAGGTAAGGATTTTATTTTCCCTCCACAGAAAAAATCCCCAGCCTTACCAAGGATTCGAACCTGGGTCTCAAAAAAACTGCCTTTATTATCACTTTTGCAGTGTAAGCAAAGGGGTCTTTGAGCCTGAGGATTTACAGTCGCATGACTAGTTCTGTCCCCAGGACTCAGCAGATGGGGATTTTATTTTGACTCAGACAGAAAAAATCACCAGCCTTACCGAGGATTGGAACCCGGGACTCCTGCTTGAGAGCCAAACGTTCCAACTGTTCAGCGAGCCGCTCCTCAGCATTACATTACCAGTGTAAATGTGGACACTTCCAACAAAGGTAGAAAGTCAGATCAAAACAACGGAAATGAAATGTCTTGTCTACAGTGATTCCCAAATTTAGTAAGAGGAGGCAGGATCAGAAATGTCGTTATCAGGAAACAAGTCAGGGCAATACCAGTGCTAAACCGCATCAAAAGGCAACAGGTAAAATGGTTCGAACATGTGTCAGACTACTACAAGGTAGTGCACCGCAAAGAGCCCTGTCATTTAGACACAATCAATGAATGTTTTTAGTTTGTTTTAGGAAAAGTGCTTAGACAAGACATTAACAAAAAAAAAAATATAAATAAAAGCTAGAAGTTATAGAAAACTGTGTCGTGTTTTTAGCTTACCTAGGAGACAAACCATATTAGATGATAGTTTGTAACAGCAATCATCACAGGAGTAATAGAATCTATACCAGATCATGTTAATGTCTTTAAGACAGAGTTATTCATCACAATAGTAATATAAACTTTTAGTTTATTTTGGAAGTTGCAGTTGATAGAAAAAAATATAAAGAGGATATTAGTTTGTTTAGGCAAGTGCTAATCCTAGAAGTTATAACAGAATTTGCTTAGATAAGAAACTCAGAAAAAGAAATAATATAAAACCACTGGATGATGCTAATTAGTTTCATAAGATTGTTGAACATCGTAGAAGTATAGACTAGCTATTGCATGATGTTAGTTGTTAGTAGTAGTAGTTTTAGTTCTTTCACTACCAGCCTGTGATTACTATATGCACCTCTTCATGTATTGAGAAGTTGTAGTTTACAGTAACCAGTGTTTGAGTCCAAAGAAGAGACAGTGTTTGAATCCAACAGTGTTTGAGTCCAAAGAAGAGATAATGTTTGTGTCCAAAGAAGAGATAGTTTTTATGTCCAAAGAAGAGACAGTTTGAATCCAAAGCAGAGACTGTTTTGAGTTCAGTGAAGATGAAATAATAAGACTATGGGACAGAAAGAGTAAAACTAACAATTCTGATATCAAGGGTTAATGTAATGATTATATGTAGTAGAAGATAGTCATACATATCTACTGTCTTTGGACTACCCAGTGAGTGTAGGGTGATTTGCATGTACCGAAAGAGGTAATTCTTTGAGTCACAAAAAACTCATGAAGTGTGTGATGGCCTCTTATCCCATGTCCACATGCACCCCAACCAATGCATTAATGTGTTTTTTTTTATGTCTGGTTACAGCATGCTAAAACATCTGGCCACTTCCACTGCAAAGTTAGTCTCTGTGAAAACTGATGCTCTCATAGCTTTATAATGGTTATTTCCTAGCCCTCCTTGTGCAATTCCTGCTAGTCTTTCTAGTACTGAAAAAGTTAAGAAAAAAACCTTTTGTTAATTGAAGAACTTCACCTTTTTTTTTTTTAAAGAAGTGTAATATATGATAAAGATCTTGTGTTTCAGTTACTTTTCCAGATTTTAGTTTGATTTGATTTTGATCAGTGATGGCATTTTTCATTATTGTGATGTGCAAGATGTTATCTTTAATGGCTTTCCAAACTCTGCTGCTTTCATGCACTAGCAGTGATTTGTCTTTTTCGGCCTTTTATCTCCTAGTGGAGCCTGGCTCACTAGCTCAGTTGGTTAAAACCCGGTGCATGGCGACCAGGTGATGAACTCCTTGTGGTCTGGGTTCACTCCCGGAGGTGTGCCCTGATGACACAATAACAGCCTCAGTGGTGTAATGGCTAAACGCTCACATGTTAGCCCAAAGGAAATCCTTATTGTGGCTGAATTGTATCAAAACTGAGGTCAGCCCAACCTAAAACAGGTGCCAGGTAATTTGCTGGGAAATCAAGCCTGTGAACAGCTGGATGTTAAACACATCAACCGTCTAAAGCTGATTTGTTATACAAAAATGAGTCTAATATTGTATGCTTGATGCACCAGTTTTGTGAACAGAGCCCTTTACTTGTTTATTTTTATAACACTAGATCCCATTGGATCGTCACAGAAGCTACGGAGGTCATGCTCGGCAGGCAGCTAGCTGTTTTGCAGAGAGAGACTGAGCCATATGGGAGAAAACCCTGTGCAGTGAATTTGAACCTCTCACCTTTACCTTAATAACACAAGAGCAGCCAGCCAGCTTTACTTTCATTTTATTAATGAAAACCATTAATTCTGCTTTATAGAGTTCATGACATCTGTAGTTTTTTTTTTTTTTTTTTGTCCATCTTACCTACTTGCTGTGCAATGTATAAAATTCCTTTTGCAGTTTCTCCCTTAGAGAAAAAAAAAAAATCTCACCACCTTACTAAGAATTCATACCCAGATGTTTAAAATGATAACTGAATGTTCTAATGCTACCAGTCAGGTGCTCCTCATTAGTCTGTTACATTACATAAAATGTGAAGTGAGTGCTTCTTATTGTGTTAAATTACATACAATTTGAAGTGAGTGCTTCTTCTTATGTTAAATTACATACAATTTGAAGTGACTGCTTCTTATTGTGTTAAATTACATACAATTTGTAGTGACTGCTTCTTATTGTGTTAACTTACATACAATTTGTAGTGACTGCTTCTTATTGTGTTAACTTACATACAATTTGTAGTGACTGCTTCTTATTGTGTTAACTTACATACAGTTTGTAGTGACTGCTTCTTATTGTGTTAACTTACATACAATTTGTAGTGACTGCTTCTTGTTGTGTTAAATTAACATAAAATGTAACTTACACTTTGTGGTGACTTACATTATAATTATGATTCTAGTTCTTGATGCTCCTCATTAGTCTGTTAAATTGTGTAACATTTGTAGTTTGTCATTATTCCATTAACTTACAGACAATTATTTATGGTGACTTACATTAATATTATGCTTCTAGTTCTTTATATTCATTTATTATTTCCAACTATTGAAGTATGTTTAATGTTGCTGTTTATTTTTTTGTTTAATGTAAAGTATAACCTGACTTTATGTCCCTTCATTAACAAAAAAATATGTTAATTATAAATGTGAAATTGTACCATCTGTTACATAAATAAAAATTTAACCAGTAGTATACAGAGGAGCAGCTGGCCAAACAGTTAACAATGCAGAGCCCTCGTACAGGAGACCCGGGTTTAAATCCTTGGTAAGGTTGTGGATTTTTGCTGTTGGAAACAAAAAGAAAATCCTAACTTGCACTGTCGGTGGCGACAGCACCAGCTTTGCATCCCTTAAACCTCTGGCTCAA